GCGGCCGGCCCGCCCGCCCGCAGCCCGAGGAGCCCGGCCCGCTACCTGCTGGTCTCCAGCGAGGAGTAGCGCTCGGGCAGGAGCTGCAGGCAGCGCTGGAAGAAGCGCACATGCCGCTCCCGCAGGAAGTCCAGCCGCTCCGCCTCCCCCGAGGACGACAGCTCCTCCGCCGCCGCCGCCTCCATCTTGCCGCTGCCCACGCCCGGCGCGCCCGGACTGCGTCACGCGCGGCCGCCGCCCCGCCCCCTCCGCGGCGACGTCAGCGGGAGCCGCCGCGCCCGGGCCCCGCGAGAGGGTCGGTGGCCGCGCGTTGCTCCGCTGCCGGCGGGGAAACGCGCTTTTAATGCGAACGGGAACGCACGCCGCCAGTCCGACGGACGACGCTTCAAAGCCGACACTCACAAAAGGCAAAGGTAACACACGTCACTGCGTCAAACACATTTTGTGACAGCCCCGCAGGACTGCTGGCCGCGAAGTCATCATCCTGCGACAGGGACAGGCGGCTGCTTGTCCTCTACAGCCCTTGTCTCCAGACCGGGGGAGCTCTAAAAACAAGGCCAAAAAAAAAAAAAGCGTAAAGAGCTCACACATAAACTGTATTTTTGTCATGCCCTGCCTCCGTCGTTCTCCTCCTTACCGACGAGGAACACGTAAAAGCGGTTCTGAGGCTGCCGCTGCGACCTCTCTTGCACGTTCCTCCCAGCAGCCCTCGGTAGGTCTGCACAGCCTGGTCAGCTCTCTGGTTACCCGAGTCTCGACCTCGGAGGGAAACAGACAAACACACACACATTGGTCGTTTTCATTGACCGCAGAGCAAGTTACATACACTCATTAGGTCTCCATCATGTGGATGGGTGCAGAGTGAAAAAAAAAAAAACAAAAAAAACCCCACAACAAAAAACCACCCACAAAAAAACCCCAACAAACCAACACAAAAACAACACACAGCTGGTAGCCCGAAAGAGACTTTTCCCTCCCCACCGTCACAGAAAATGGGAGAAACAGGAAATCAGTAAAAGGGGCAACAACTGCTTGCTCTCATTAAATTTTAGTAATTTAAAAGGTTAGAGACTCCAAGAACCCAGACGGCGTTCCCCAAACTCTTCTGAAAGCCAGCCTGCTTATTTAGCTAATGGTAGAAAGCCATTTAAAAAATAAAACACGCCACCCATATTGCAGCTCATTTGTATGAGCTGTAGGCTATACCCAGAATAAGCACTGCTGGGAGTTAAATAAATTCTCTTGTGTTCCCTAGCCCCCCCCCCTTTTTTTTTAAACACAAGAACAACTATGCCTGCTACATTTTTGTCTCCTGATAACAAGCCTGACTTACTTATTTTTCCTTTATCAACCATTTACATAAGTAAAAATAATTGCTTTTTAGATCAATGAGGAGAAAGGTCGTTTAAACAACCAAGCTGCACACACCTCAGATTAAAACAAAGGTAAGTTACCTTCTCTCTTAACTTTGCTAGCCTTTTTTCTTTTTCTCGTTTCTCTACTTCTTTAGCTTGTTTTTGTAGACTCCTTAGCTTCAGTTTATGTAGATCCTGAAACACATGATGAAGGAAAAGCAAACTTTTCTTTGGAAGTAAAACATATGGTATCAAAACATATATGCAGCCTTTTCACAGTTTTTGTTTTGATATTATTTCATCATAGTACAGAATAAAGTTATACTAGGTAGCTACTTGCTATAGCTTGTCCTGCACAAACAAATTATAATTACACAGTTTTGAAAAAACATGGATTGTAATAGTTTAATCTCTGTTTATAAAAGTGAACTCTAGTGTGAATGCTGACAATAATAGCAGTTCTCCAGTAATCAGATTTACACTGATATGGGATCTAACTTGATCTTACACATACTGAAACCTGCAGGATATTCAAACATTGCTTTATTTCATATCTGCATACAACAATCAGGTCTTCTGACATTTTCTATAGCATGGAGAGCAAGGCAGCCCAAGCTGGTTTTCCCCAAACATTTTCACATTGAAGTAAATAAAACCACTTCTATATGTAGAAAGAAATATGGGCTTGAATCTTCTGTAGAACTTAGATAGTGAGGAAAAGGAACATCTTTGTCTAAAAGTTTCATGCTGTTTCTTGTATGTAACAGATGCTGTTATTCATAGTGAATCAAAAATAGATTTAAATTAATGAAACTTGGATTTTAAAAGTGTTTAACAGATTCTATTGTAGGAGGAAGTAGGCGAATTTAAAACAACAACATGCATAAATGGAGATATAATTACGTACATCCTCTTGAAACTTAGTAATTTCTTCTGCAGCAATTCTCTTCCTTTCCTCCTTTTCAGCTTCCTCCCTCTTTTCCTTTTCAAGCTTTTCAAGTTCCTCCTTTTCTTTCTTCTGCAAGGTATACCTTTCCAACAGTAACTTCATGTGGCATTGATGCTGGCGTTCTTTTTGCCTTTTCACCTTCTCTTTTTCTAGTTTTAGTTGTGATGCTTTTTCCATTGCAAATGCTATTGCTTTCTGTTTCTTCCATGCTTCAATTGCTGCTTGTTGTCTTTTTCTTTCCTCTGCTTTTTGCTTCTGAGCTTCTTCATGCTGTAGCCATTCTTCCTTGAGCATTTTTCCCGATTTCTCTTTCTCCTTCAAATTTCCTTCTTTTTCTTGCTGCTGCTTTTCTTTCCACTTCTTAATTGACTGCAAGAGAACAGCAGGGGAAAGAAAATAAGGTTTTCGTGAAAGTTTTCCACATTCCCATTGATTGTCTGATGAAAACATACGCTCCAAGGATACAAAATGCAGATAGGAATTAAAAGTCTACTAAAGGTGGAACCTGTGGCCAAGAAGCAACTATGTCTGCTTTCTCACAGGTTTTGGGGTTTTTTTTTTTGGGGTGTCCCCCCCCCCCCATTTTATGGATCACACATAGCAGGTTAATACATGCCTGCTAAGATTATTTACGTTATGCCATTCATATTAACTTTGGGTAGTTATGAATGTTTGTGTAATACGCTTTTTTAATGCGAACATATTTCAGGTCTTAATTTTTTTTTTCTTCAAACTAAAAATTCCACCTACTATTTTATAATTCAGTTTTTATGTCAATGTATCTTTTATTATTCAGAGGGATAGTTTTTGAAGTAATCTTAATTCTCTGTGTCAGTATGGCATAGGTATATTGCCTATACAGTGGAATAGACTTTCTTAGGGACAGATACAACAAGCACTGCAGTTTCAGATAGGATCACTTACTGATCTGGCATTGGCATCTAACTTGCTGGACCACTGCCATCAAAGGCATTTATTATATACTTTGGCAATACACGGCCCACTTCAGTGCATTGTTAGGCCTACGCTTACTGGTAATTCTTCAAGACAAAGTATTTCTGGCAAGTTGAAGATGCTGAAGAGTTCAGTTATATATCGTCACCTATATCAGAAATCCACCTAGCACTACCACCAGAGAGACAAATACAAAAATAAGAAGTGCATGCATTTTAAAAATAAGTACTTTTTCTTAAAGCTACAAAAGCCCTAGAGGGATTATTTTACCTCTTTCTTTCTTTTCTGTAAAATTAGAAATTCTTGATACCATTTGTCATGCTGTTCAATATCTTCTTTTGTTCTTCCACAGAGATACTCAAGGGCTTCATCCACATAAGGTAGCCTTCCTTTGTGTTTTGTCCATACTTTCAGAAAATTTTGATGATCATAATCATCCCAGCCTCCTTGCCGCCCTCCTGTTCGCTGAAGAAATCTTTCAAACTCTACTACTTCTTCAGGTAGATGATTTTCTAGTGTTTTACCAACTGAGACCCTGGCTGACGGTAATTTCGAAACTTTTTCTGTTATTGAACTGCCTAATGCCCACAGTTCCACTTTTCTCTCAAAGACACTGAGCTCATTGATGGCAGTTTTTTCCTCCTTCAAAAGCTGTTCATATCTGGAAAGAGAATAAACACTGAAATGTAAGAAAAAAAATCCAGTATTCATTGTTCATTCACTGAAAATGAATTTTGGAATTGTTCAATGCCACAAAAAAGCTATTCTTCAAAGATTAAGAACTGAAATGGTAACACAGATGACAGCATGGTTGTAATGATCCCATAATAAAGCACTACACAGTCAGAATTAAGTTACCCTTTTAGTGAAAGCACACATTTATGGCACTCAAACAATTAACTCAATCCCCTCCTAACACCAGTAGAGAGAAAGGGAAAAAAAACCCCACCCACTTAAAAAAACAGTAACAACAAGACTCCCACAATCGCATCTCTTCTGCAGCCTTTCTCCAAAAAGCCTTTTCATAGGCAAATCATTGTTACATTGCATCACTGCAATAGCTATATAAACAGCCTCTTTAAAAGGCTGTTTATGAAGATTCTAACATTGATAGCTTGAGTTTTGATTTACATACCACAGGAATCACAAGCAAAAGAGTAAATTAAAAGAATAGTTTACTTGATTAATGCAAAGTTTTCATTGTGTTTTATGAAAGCACTTTTTCTTGTAGCTGAAGCATGTATAAACATACATTTGCCTCTGTTCCTCTTTAAAAGCATTGATTGCATTTTCAACTTCTTCCATCATTTCCTTGAGCTTGTCAACAACTAAAGGAAAAGAAGAAAAGAGCATATCTCACTTAAGAAGTCTACAGTATTTACCAGTAATTCAGCACTATCCAGAAACGTAGGCACTTGTAGAGACTTCTGGAACACTTTTATTTCAGCATACAAAAAAAGCATGCATTTCCATCTCAAACAGCCTTAAAAGACAGACTCTCATTTATTCAAAAGGTGTGATTTCACAGTGATTTAGCTAACTGGAAGCAGATCCCAGTATAAATGTTTATTTCCATTAAACAAGTCTCAAAGTAACCTTCAACTGATTCACAGAGTAAGATGGCCTTGTCCTAAAGAGTTTCCACTTTTGATTTTTGTAACAATGCAGTTAGAAACTTAAGAAAGATTTGAGTGTGCTTCATTTATACCAGGCTTTAGCAACCCTATTTAACCTACAGGTCACTACTTTTACAAAGCTGACAAAGAAACATCAAAGTAAGATTTTATGCTGTACTGTCAGCATGCTGTAGTCCTGATGTGGAGAAAGACAGTAAGACAGCTGTCTAGAGAAGATCTATTTTGCAATGGTAGAAAAAAATTTTAGAATCTGTTTTAAACCAGCACACCATCTCTATGGACACATATTGAACACATAGTTCAACTAACCTGTCTTTAAAAAATAATAAACTAAATTGGTACAGTTATATCATCTAAAACTCGTAGTTCAGCTTTCATGCCTTGTTAGTTCCTGGTATCTTTGCTGACAGCTTAAGAAGATAATGCATTTTTATAGACTAGACACTGAATAAATGAAGGAGATGCATTTTATCTAGCATCAGAGAGCCATCAGCTAGTAGGAGGGCTTCAACCTGAACTCCACACGAGCTGGTAGAGTATCACACGAGAAAGGCACTAAAAGAACCAATTTCCCAAAAGTTTCAAAACATCCAAACTCAATGAGTTGTTTCAGCATCTTCTATAGAATATTCTGCCTTACACTTCAAGCCATGTGGATGGCTAGAAATGAGTCCCTGTAGACCCTACTCTGTGACCTCTTACCAGAAGAAAGGGAGTTACATCTAAATGGCACTACAATACTAACTTTCTTTTACATAAGGCAAGGAGGTACATACAGAAAATACCTGGCTTTTAACAGCCTGAAGAAACAAACCCACACCACTTCTAAGACAGGGCAAGTTTCTCTGTTTCCACACAGAATTGCACGATCTTTCAACATTTCTTACATTTCTGTATTCTTCCCTATCCAGATTCCTGGAAAAGCAGACAGACTGGAGAAGGAGTATCCCAAGTCTGCAGGAGAATCACAAGCCCAACTACACAAGAAACCTGTCTATAGACAAAACAGTTTTTAAATCTGTCATGACAACTTACATTCTGGTGTAGGCTTCACATCTTTTAATTGCTGCTGAAGTCTCTTCACATTATTTTGTATTTTTGATAGCTGCTGCAGGATTTTAGCTTCTGTTAAACAAAATAAGGTGCTCATAGTTCCAACAGTTTCTTTGTGCATTAAATTCAATACAATAACAAGAGCAATGAAGTGTCCAAAATAAACTGTGGATTTTGTCTAAGCAGGAACACAAATTCTGTTTGATCATAAGAAACTGCCATAATACTAAGCATGACTGTAACTGCATGTAGCTGACTGCATGGGCCATGTATCTCCCCACACAGCGTCAACAGATTTTAAAATTAGTAGCTCTTATTTCTAAAGGGGTCAACAGGATAGTCATATCTAGATTAAATCAGTTGTTTGTTTGTTTTTTTCCCACTCAAACCTTTTATCAGGTAACTGGAGTTTGGAGAATATTGCCTATGCAGATGACACCTGCTCCAGAATTTTGAGGGAGACTCTGACCTAGGCCTCAGAAAACTCAGCAGTTAAGAGAAAACAAACATGGAAAGCATATGTGAATGTACTACTTCAGTGTAGTTAACTGAAGTAGAATAAGTGGTTTTGTGTACTCCAAGCACGCATACACTTATTTGCTTTGTTACCACTTGGCTCCTCATGAGTCCATAAATACAATACTGATGAGGATGAAATTCTGGATACATCTTAGGTACTAAGGAGCTATATCTTCTGTACTAAAAGATTTGGTTTAAGGAAGGGATAACAGAGTCCAAAACCTAAATGTAACAAAAAGTAGCTAAGACATGACCCTAGTGATTCCTGCTGAGACCACAGAAAATGTAAAAGCACACAGATATGCTGAAAGACCTGAACATAGTAAGTGGGAGGCCTGGGGGTTCTCATACACACCCTAAATGATCTTACTCCAAGACTCCTTCACATCTCACATGTAGTGCCTTACACCTCTCATCTTTGTCCTCTTTATTATCTCACAACAGTATCTCCACCCATACTTCCATGCTCCCTTCTTACCCTGGAAAATTTTCTGAACTTTTTAGCTTAGTCGTTCCTCGGAAATATTTACATTTCTTAAGGACTGCAAGATGTAAAGGATATGATAAATTTCCTTAATTAAAACACATCCAAATTTGTAAGGTAAGTGTATTTTTAGTTGTCTCTACATGCCCTTTCCCTTCTTCAACTTACTGATCTTCTGTATCAGAAGGCATAGCATGATTTATCTGATTACTTTTGAAAGAATCTAGGTACTGTGACCAGGGAGTCACTTTTCCCCCCGAAGTAATTAATTAGTCCATAAGTGGAACAGATATTGTAGGACAGACTGTGTACCATCTCACACCACTATTTAGACTATGAATATTCATTACCCACAAATTTAAAAAAATGCAAAACTCTTTAAAAGTGTATTTAAAGGCAGCAATCAGTCTGAGAAAACTTATGTTGCAGTTAAGTATATATTTATTGTACCTTAGCTAGGCTACATTAGATTTTGCAATAGACACACAAAATTGATTCCAAGTTTCTAGAACAGTAACTTTCCCCTCAAGTTGTTGTGGGTGGTATCTGATACATTCAAGATTAAAAGAAAACAGTTAATAACACAGAAGGCCCCAAATGTTTATGCTTCTGAATTTTGCAAGTGAATTGTGGAAGTCTTCTTTACAAACAGTAGACATGGTGAAATACCACACTTTTATCAGCATCTACCTTCCACCTGAACTAATCCCTCTGTACTACTGATTATTAAAGCATTTAAACAAACAGTAGAGTAAAAAAAAAACCAAAGCAAACAAAAAAAAACCCAAAACCACCACTTACTTTCAGTTTTCCTGCTGACAGTCATGCTACGTTCCAGTTCCTCTAGTGTGCTGTATTCTACCCTGAAATCACTCTTCCTATTGTAAAGATGTCCAATTTTTTCTTTTTCTATATTTGCAAGCCTGCAAAAAAAAGGTTACCACACTGAGTAAGACATGAATACTTCACAAAGCCCTAAGGTTTTCCAAGGGTAGTATCCAGCTGAGGCTGTGTCACCAGGACTGTCTTAGATTTTATACAAATCACTAGTTTGTTCCTACAGCTGTTTCAAGGAAAATCTTTCTGCAGTTGTAAGACTACACACCAAAGTAACCCAAGAACTTGAACAAGAGAAAGAAGTTAACATGGAAATTACCTCGCTGACAGGCAGTGGCTCACACCTGAAATTTTATCTGTATGCTCACTATCAGGAAGCCTCATGCCAATTTTCATTGGAAAGCGCACAGACAGGCACAGGCTGCATTAACGCAGCTGCACGCATAGATGGAGCCCCAGCACAGACAAAACGAGTACATTCCCTCAGCCTTAACACCAGTAACAGTACTACTGCAACTGAAGATTCAAATTCATTAGCATTTAAATAACTTAAGATACTAAAGCTGCTACCTTATACTATACTATGTATAGTACAGAGAGCTATAGGTGACTTCTGCTTTCCTAATAAGGTCAGAAGCTTTAGAGCACAACTCAGAGTGGGATGTGCTTTGCCTTACTACAACCAGGCAGTATACTAGGGTCTGACCTAGAGAAAAAGCCCATGCAAAAGGACTGCAGATACTGCAGTCCTGAGCATATCGGTGAGGTTTGGTGCCAGCACATTAGAGGTTAGAAAGCAGGACACTGGTGCCACAGAGTACAAAAATATCTGGTAGGATTCCCAACATTAAGCAACACTACCAACAGCCCCAGAAACTCTTTGTCAGTAGCAGCTTCGTTCTTCAGCAGACTATTGCTGCTATGTGGTTCAAACCCCTATATGGTACAGTTTATGGTCCACAGTTTAAATGTTTTGCTGTCCACTGGTGTTCCCAGACCAGACCCAAGTACTAAATCTCCCCATACAGTGCACTAGAAGCTTTCAGAGCACAACTACAGAAGGACAGTGTGCCATAGTTAAATGGCATGCCTTGTTTGAAGTTGCTTGGGAACATTTACATTACCCAGTAGTCAATTTTTGAGCCACAACCCAGGATAACCAAGGAAGAGCTGGTTCAGTCACTCAGCGCAGAACACTGCTATGACACTTAAGTGTCACTGTTCTTTCAGGATTCACAACTACAAACCCTTCCTTCAGCCAGGTGGCTATGTCAGCTCTTCCTCATAAAGGTCATCCATTCAAGAACAAAACTCCCTGTTTTCTCAGCTGCCAGTGTAGTTGTTACAGGACTTACTCAAGATGTGGTGAAACAGATTTAAATCACTTCTGTGCCTGAGCTGTCTTGAACCCCCATTTTCCAAAGCAGTGGCCTAGATACTCTAGATGAAGTGCTTTCAGTCTTCTCTGATTAAGCTGTTGTAATGCTGCTGCAACTCCCCTTTTGTTGGTATGTCTTAAGGGCTTTAGGTCCTTAGAAGGGTAAGAACAGCTGAGTAGGAAAACTGAAAACTCAATTATGCCACGTGCACTTTCTTTTTTGTGCATCTAGCACAGCAATAGCTTACTAAAGAAAATGACTGACTGAAGTCCAAATGGTAACTAGAACAACAGGGCATTTTGGAGCTCATGAGCCTATCCTGAACTACTGTAACAGCCACAATAATATGCCTGAGCTCCTAAAAAGGAAACCTTAGCCTAAAGGTTTTGTTACCATAAATTCTCACCTTGAGTTATGTTACCTCCAGAACAGCACGAAAATATACTTATGATGAAGTGTTTAACTTACTGAGTTTTGAGCTTTTCTGCAGTCCTTACAAATTCAACTTTCTTAGCTTGTTCCGCTCTCATCTTCCAGTTCTGAAATTGTTGACCAGCACCTGCAGTACTGGAACAGCTGTCATTCTGTACATAACAAAACCAAATATTATTCAAAACCAATTGTTTTTTAAATGCTTATTGGTTATTTTTAAGCAGACAACACCACAGTGCAGAGTAACAGCATTACTTCAGTTTTATAGTAGTGCAATTCAACTAATTTTAAGTCACACAGGTATAAAACTGGAGCGATGGCAAGCTGATTACTGTATACAAAACCACATTCTTCAGCAGAAAAATGGGAAGACTGCAACACCAGCTTGCTTTAAGAGAGGCTGCTCACCACACTGCAACACTCAATCCAGGCAACTGCTTTGCCTCTCATGGCGGTAAGTCTCTGACGAGTCTGAGTAACTACCCACCTGACTATAAGCGTAAGTGTAGTCTACACTAGGCAGATTACCCCCATTTCATCTTGTTCAAGAAAAGCACTCGCTTAATGTCTCCAACCTGCTTAATAACGCTCGCAAATTGCCAACTCCTATTCATAGCAACCCTGGACATCCTTAACACAACCACTGCTAGGAATGCAGTTAATGAAACCGCCTGCTCAGGTCACGAAGCTACCATTTTGAGGCCAGCCCGCCAAACCCGCACTGCTTCCTCCAGGTTTCTTTTTAACGCCTATCCCTGCACCTTCTACGAGGCTGGAACTCCTCAGCCGCCGCCGCCGCCGACCGCCTACCCGGCGGGCCC